TTTGAGTTTGTGTCTCCATTGGCAGGTGGTCCATACCATCGAGGTTTTTGGCACCAAATTTCAGGGATACTTATTTATGCTACCGATGGTTTAGTTTGTAATGAATCTCATTGGCTGCTATTTTTATTTTAACATTCCACCAATCAAAATTGCAGGTGCTGAACACCATCGAGGTGTTTGGTACCAACTTGGAGGACTACCTTCACCTGATCATTCCGCCTATCATGAAACTCATTGAGTCGCCTGAGGTGCCCACACTCACCGTCAAAGTTCGGGCGATCCAGACCATTGGCAAGCTCTGTCGACAGGTGTGTTTCAGGTGTTATGACATATGCTGTGTGTATATAGGGCATAAGCTCTGCTGACAGGTGTGTTTCAGGTGTTGTGGCATGTGCTGTGTGTACATAGGGCATAAGCTCTGCTGACAGGTGTGTTTCAGGTGTTATGACATGTACTGTGTGTATATAGGGCAAAAGCTCTGCTGACAGGTGTGTTTCAGGTGTTATGACATGTGCTGTGTGTATATAGGGTAAAAGCTCTGCTGACAGGTGTGTTTCAGGTGTTATGACATGTGCTATGTGTATAAAGGGCATAAGCTCTGCTAACAGGTGTGTTTCAGGTGTTATGACATATACTGTGTATATAGGGCATAAGCTCTGCCGACAGGTGTGTTTCAGGTGTTATGACATGTGCTGTGTGTATATAGGGCATAAGCTCTGCTGACAGGTGTGTTTCAGGTGTTGAGACATGCACTGTGTGTGTATAGGGCATTCGTATCGCTTTGTGTGTGTGCACATGCACTCGTGTGTCCCTGGTTCGCTGTAATTATGTATCTAAGCTTCAATGTAGTTTCGTAGAGCGGCTACAGACACCGTCGATTAGGGTTTAGGATTTTGAGCGTTCCAGACCATCGGCAAGCTTGTTCTCCAGGTGTGTTTCGGATCTCAGTACAGTGTATGTATGTAGTACACACATGCCTGTACACACTCACTTAACAATTACGCACACACGTGCACGTATCTACAGCTGAACTTTTCAGACTATGCGTCGGGAGTGATCCATCCGCTGGTGCGAGTGCTGGAGGACTGTGCGGTGAAAGGCTCTGATGAGGAGAAGGGCTTGATCAACCATGTCATGCGCACACTCTGCACATTGGCGTACCAGCTGGGCGCTGACTACGCTATCTTTATACCTATGGTATCAAAGGTATGTATACTGTACTTGTATTTGTATTTGTATATTATATATTTACATATATATATATATATATATATATATATATATATATATATATATATATATATATATATATATATATATATATATATATATATATATATATATAGTAT